CCCCCCCCCTCTGCGTGCCAGTTTTAAAAACCACGTGGAGAATGACAGTTTCGTAACAAATCCCAAAGTGCACGCAATAATGGCAAATTTCATCAACTCATCAAAAAAACTCTATCAATAACCTCGAGTATGAGTTCAAAAATTCCGTTGGAACTGACACTTGCGATTCTGAAGCCGCATGTCGTCAAGAATCCCATAGTTCTGCAGGTAACCTCAAAATTCCTTGGATGAAAGCAAAACAAATAGCCAGAAAATTACCGTTTCTTCACAGAAAATTTACGAAATGATCACTGAAAATGGACTGAAAGTCGTTCGAAGCCAGAGGAAAATTATAACTCTTCCGGAGGCTGATTTGTTCTATCAGGAGCACAGACAAAAATTCTTTTACAATAGGCTAGTCACGTTCATGTCCAGTGGACCCTCTGATATCTTGATTTTAGCTGGTGAGAACGCTGTCCTCAAGTGGAGGGAGATTATGGGACCGACGAAGGTGTTTCAGGCGCAGTATTCGGCGCCAGACACGATTAGGGGAAAGTTTGGGCTGTCTGATACGAGAAATGCTACACACGGCTCAGGTGATGACTACCAAAAAGCTGTTCTATATTCAATAAACGACTTCCAATTATCTCAACAAATTCAACTGGAGAATTGGATTGAAAAAATCAATGAGAAAATTTTAAATTTGTCCAATAGACTCAACAGAATCAGCAGAACGCGAAATGCAAATATTATTCAAAGACTTTGACTCCAAAAAATGGCGCGAAACCGATAGAAGTCTTCGTGATTTAGGACAAAAAATGAAACTTGATGCTGAATCATTTAAAAATAACATCGACGAAAGCTCCGTTGATCGCGAGCAGAACGTCAAATGAATCCAGTGATAGAGGTATGAAATTAGCTAGTGGAAAATTAACTGTAAATTGAATTCTCGTGGAAATAAAGTTGACAAAAATATTTTTATTTTGTACTCGCACATTTTGGACGCAAATGAAACAGCAGTACTAATGCCACAATATTCTTTCCACGATTAATAATGTACAATTATTTACAAAATTGAGGTATGCATTACGATCGATTCTGTGACTCGATATTCGAATTACATAATATTCAAGATAGAGTGGAATAAGACACTTCATAGCATCAGCACAGAAATTTGCAGATTCTTTCGGTGAATGGAATGGTTTCAGGCATTTATTTTAACGAATACTTTTGGTCTCGAGAAAACTTTGATACCTTCCTCAAGTTTAGTCAGTTGTCTCTCGATTTCGATTTTTCGTCTTTGGGATCGTAGCGTGTCGGATCTTATAGGCAACATGTTGAGTTCGTTGACCAGCTCTTGATAATCTGATAAAATTAAATTTCAAGACAATAATTAGATAATAAATACAACAACAATAAGACAATAATTAATAATAATAATAGACAATAATTAAACAAATAAGACAATAATTAGTGAAAGATAAGGTGTTGTTATTTGTTGAATTTTAAGGAGAAACCGTCACTCACTTTTCTTCAACAATTTTAGTGTTTCCCTCCGTTCATTATCAGGCAGTGGGACGTGACCATCTGGACACTCAGCAAGAATTGCTTCCTCCAAGGCTTGTCGCTCCTTCTCTTGCTGGCGTTCTTCTTTCCTTTCTTTGATATACCTGAAGCCAATGGAAATGCCATTCATACTTTGCATGCAGTGGTAAAACGATAGAAGTCAATTTTGACTGTTGACCAGTTTTCAATGAATATCTCGGAATCTAAGGGAGATAGCGAAATTTTCGTAATCACATTTGTTGTAGCTCTCAAGCGACTCTACAAAAAAGGTTATAACAACAATTTTGCTATCTCCCTTAGATTCGGAAATATCCCTCAAAAACTCAACTCGGAGATAAGCCGACTTGAACCGTTTTACCACTTCGCTACTGAATTCATCATTTTCGGACAAGAATAAGAATCAATTGAAGAAATGTTAGAATTCCTACTTGGGGACAACTCCCTTCCTATAATTCGGTGGAAGTACTCCATTATTGAGCTGAGCTGCCATTTTACTCGCAACTGAGAGTTTCTCCTTGTTTAATTTTAAGCAGTCTGTGGTTTCCTTCGAAGGCGATGAGTTCGGCTTCTTCCGAGATTTCTGATTTTTCACTGGGAATTCATCACTCCTGCCCAATGGCTCGTCTGTATCTGCGCCTTCTTCGTTGTTTGGTAAACTTCGAGCTGAGGGATATCTGGAGAGAAAAATTCAAATTTGATTTTAGTATTTAAAGCCCGAGTGGATCACCTTTCAAACGTGATCTTGGTTATTTTTTTATTTTGATAATTTGAAATGATCTCCAATTGGTATTCAGTTTTACACAGCCCTGGAGTCTCCAAAAATTATGATTGTACATCCATAATTTTCAGGGACCCCTTCGTGATGTCAAATCAAATGGAAATTATGAAGCTGAAACTAGCGAAAAAATCGACAGCAGATTGTCTCAGGCGAATCCAGATACATTTGTACAAATGTTTTCAAGTAATGTACAAACTCTTTCGCAGTTAAAAAACATTCAAATACAAATGTTACACAAATACGAATACAAATAATTAATAATTAATTAATTAACAAAGAATAATATTATAATATTATTATATTAATAATATTATCACTAATATTATTACTTAATTAAATAATTAATTAATGATAGTTAATTATTATTATTAATTTTGTAATTTGTGTAATACAAATGTTTTTAAGTAATGTACAAACTCTTTCGCACTTGAAAAACATTTATACATATAATTATTTGACTCTCCTACACTTAAATATCCCCTAAATTGAATTTTCCTCTGACGAATATTCTGCTGATTTCAGCTCCATATGGAAATTGTGATATATTTTTCATTATGCAGATGGAAAAACAATCGAGATAACGTTCGAAAGTTAATCCATCCGGGCGAAAATTTAGAGAAGAAAATTAATTTCATTGAAGTAAATTTTGTCCTCTGAATTCATCCCTCCCATTTCCCAAATACCTGACTACTCCCTCAGCATAGATTCCCTCTAAATTATCGGTATCCAGCGTCTGGATCCCTTTACTTTTGTACTTTGAAATATCGCAATTATTATCACAGCGTGCCCTGTCCTCCGCCGAATCGAGATTCAGGGGAACTTTTGGCAAAGTCTGAGGCTCACCCTCGCCCCTCTTCATTCTATCGTTCCCATTCTCCTCCTGGGGCTTCTGCTTTCCATTAACAGCAGCAGACGTAACTCTACTCTTGTTATTGATCTTTTTTTTTCTATTCGGAGTTGCTACAGTGGTGGCATTATTCCTAAGTTCAGGAGCACTAGATTTTCTTTCCAGTGGATGGACATTTTCCCTGCTCTCCGCAGAATGATTCTCCTCAGCGAATCTCCTTCGTGATCGGTGTAGACTTGAGTTCACCCGTGCTGCTACGTTTTGGTATTTGCCCTGTCTATTTTGGAGTTTCAATTTATCCAAGTCCTCCACTTCTCTGCTGGCGTGGAAATATTGCTCCATACGACGAAGGTTTCTCACATTCTCTTGAATAAAATTTTTTCGCAGTGGGGGTTCTGAAATGATTAAATCATTTGTCGTACCAGAAATATTGGAGTGAAGGTAAATAGGGGAGGATGGGGTAAAATGGACACTTTTGATTTTTTTTTAAATATTCATAACTCAGAAACAGATTTATCGATAGAGCTCAGTCTAAGCTCATCCCAAAGAGGGATCATTGTTCTTTCTATTGAAAAATGAAATTATTTCATTTCATGAACAATTCAACACGTCGTGGACATTTAAAAAAAAGTTGAGTGTCCGTTTTACCTCATTCTCCCCTATTGATTGATGTAATTAATGGAACTCACTTGGATTGGGAAAAATACCCCTGAGAGTTGTCATAGCTAATGCAGCAGAATGACGATTTGACGACTGAACGATTCGATCGCACTATATTCCCTTTCTGAGGTAACCTGAGTATCAATAATTTATATGGCTATCGTCCACACACACTTTCTCGCCCTTGCACGATTCTCACCTACCTTTGCCTTCTATAAAAGAAAACAAGGCTGCATGGCTGTCTACGTTGGCCCTAGAAGAACACCCAGAGGAGCAGTAATCCCTCCTGTATTTGGCATCTGAACTTGAATTTCCCTGATTTGCATCGACCAATTTCCGTTGCCAAACAAACAATTTTTGTTTTTATGTCACGTGCACCGATGTCTCATTCGTTTCTTTCAGGCTAACTGTACGCGGTATAAAAACGAATTAATTTTAAGAAAAGTATTAGTTCCTAAATTGTAAAGTCATGTTCCTAAACCATCCTGAATGATTCCCAAATGATCTAAATTAATTTCATTAGAAAATTTATTATTTTTCTGGTTATTGGATGGCCGTTGGGAGCATCGATTACTCATATTTTCCCTACATTGTCGACCAGTCGGCAATGTGGAAAAAATACTGAAATTATCGGTGACCAAGCGGGAACTTTAAGGGGAGACTACTATGAGTTTTAAAAGTCGTGGGTTATTGGAGTGAGACTTTTCATACGTTGAAGATCGATTATATAGATCTGAAAACGAATAATTAGTGCAAAAAAAAATTTTTTTATTGTTCGTTTGCCCGAACACGCTTTAAATGCCAAAAACAGTCCAGGGCCTCAAATTTTTGAGCTACGAAGGATTTTTTTTTCACAATTTTCGGAAAAATATGTGGAATTATGAGCTATTTTTTTTAATTCGCCTCTTACATGGCTAAATTTGCTTTTTTTGTATTTTTTTTACACAAATAGTGAATTTTTTTATATGAAAAAAACCGAAATCAGATGTGTAGGAGTCGAATCTCCCTTAGATTCGGAAATATTTCTCAAAAACTCAACTGGGAGATGAGTGGACTCAAACCGTTTTACCACTTCGCTACTGAATTCATTTTTGTTGTTGTCCTGAACCCGGGGTTTCTGAAATTTTGCAAGAGGTTCCTAAATGGATTAAATAATATGTGAAAAAAGTTTCATAAAATTGGCTGCATTTTTCGAATGTCCTGCTCCTCGCTTGAACATCGTTTCCACTGATTTTTCTTCAGAATTTTTGGAGACCTTGAAAAAAATAGGTCTTTGGATCGAGGAAGAATCCGTCATTTCCTGAATGATTGAATATACAGGGGAGTGATTTTGCTCGTTTTATGTCGACATAAACGATTTTATGTCGACATAAAACGAGCGAAATCACTCTCCAGAACATGTCTGGTTTCATTCAAACTTTCCCGCCATTCGCCACCTTCCGGCGACTCTCAAAAGTCCCGAGTCATCGCCCACATGGGGACCGAGCCTGATGTTCAGCTGCGTCAGCGAGTTCCGAAAAACGGGGCAAAAAAACAACTGAATGTTAAAAAACCGTGAATATCATTAAACTGTCGTCTCACTGATGGACGACAATAACCGCGGGTGAATCGTCACGTAAAAATTCATTTCCATCTCGCCCCGAGTATCTGATTTGAGCCCTTGACAATGGATTAACACGTGTCCAAAATAGTAACTAATACTGCTGATCAACAAAAGAACTTAACAATATCGAGAAACAATTGAAGATCGTTAACAGCTAGTCAATGAATTCCACACTGAAGATATTTCGTTCTGCCATGTGTTGAGGTCTCTCGACATATGTTCCCAGGCATAACCGTCCAAGAGAATCCTCTGGGGTCTGATCGCCAGTTGCACTCGACGATGGCGGATGTGTCTCTCTACGACTCGACAATTTGTCGATTATGCGCTGAGAACAATCCCAGCGGTGAATTGTTATTCACTTCTGGCGACGATGAACCGGACTTGAGTACCATGATCAATCGCTACTTGCCACTCAAGGTAAATTATTGATTTGATTTTGTTTGGGTTTCGTTGGGGACTGTTTAGGCTACAACTTGACTATCTGGGTGGCGAGGGGAGAGTGATTCAGGGACTGCACTGATTCTTGTTGGCTTGGGAGAATAAATACTACATGGTTCAAGATATTTTATGAATTCAGAGGGGATCTTCATTTGAGTCTACGATACCTGTGCGAATGATGTCTATTTTGAATTAAAATTGATGAGTTTTTCACTAATTTTAGTTGGGAGGGTTCATTTCTGTTTTTCTTTTTTTCTCTTGATGAGGAATGAATTCGCCCTGATAAGTTTGCATGAATTGTTTTTTTAGTTTTTTTGGAAATTATAAAATATAAGTGAAGGCTCTTCGTGTGGATGTTTTTTTAATCACAATTTTTATCCTATTTTAATCTGATGGGGTTCACTTCTGGTCACGCTTCAATTTATAAATTAATGTAATTAACTAATTAACTAATTGGAAAATTGAGGTGAGGGGGAAGTTATTTAGGAACTGCACTGATTCTTGTTGGCTTGGGAGAATAAATACTACATGGTTCAAGATATTTTATGAATTCAGAGGGGATCTCCATTTGATTCTACGAAGCAGATTCTTTTGAATTATAATTTATGAGTTTTTCATGAATTGCAGTTGAGTCCATTCTTATTTTTATTTTTTTTACTCCAATAAAAAACGAATTCCTCTTGCCAAAATTCAAGCAAATGTATTACAGCTGGAAAAAATAATATTCACTAATATTCATCGAGTTATTAAATATTAGTTATAATTTTTCAGCCACAGATTGTCGAATATTTTACAATGACTTCATTCAATAAACTCCAAAGACTTTAATGTAATTCTCCATTTCGAACATCAGGAACTTCAAAAAAGTCCATATGTTCAAAAAATTGAGAGGAGGTTTACGCTGGGCAAAAAACTCGTTCATTTTTGAAGAAAAAAAAACTAAAAATAGTATTTTCCGCGTTTTTTTTTCTGAGCAATTCATTTTAGATCAAATTTCCTTCCACAATATTTTCTCGAATATGATCAGACATTTTCGTTCCTCAATATATTCAAGGATATCTTCATTAATAACAATCAGAAGAGTGAATTTTCACAAAAAGAATGAAAAATCGATGAAAATCATCCAAAAAAATGGAAGTGAATGGTTTCCTAACACCGAGACGAGACGAGAAGATGCAGTTGATGTTCCAAGAAGGGATAACGGAGGTGATCTTTGTGGCCTCGGGACCCTCAAGGTCCCTTAATCGATTATTTAGAAGATGCAGTTTCTCGTGTCGTCTCTCCTGGATCAGTCTCAGAACCCCAAAACCTCCTGGCTCCTTCCAGATTCGCAACGATGGAAAGTTCCCCCGCACCATCTGCCCGGGCTGCAACATTCAGCTGGAGTCGACGATCGAGTTCTTCGAGCTGCTCGTCGACGGCCAGCGAAAGATCCGCGACCTCTACAAGCAACAGCAGGACAAGGAGAAGCGCACGTCAAAGCTAGCCGGCACCGGCCCAGCCCTGGAGCCCTACCCGGAGCCCCAGGAGGACGCCCTCTCCCAGCAGATAATCATAAAGATCCTCCCCGACGGTTCGATGTACGCAGCGGACCACGAGATGAGTCTCCAGATCGAGGGCCTGGAGAAACCGAAGCGAAAGCGCGGTCGACCCCCGAAAATCCAGGCCGAAGTCGAGGACGAGAAGATGATCGAGGAGCACTTGGACCCAGTCTCCCAGGAGGAGGACGATAAGCAAGAGGGCGAGGAGGAGATCGGTGAGGACGGTCGCAGAAGGCGAAAACGAAAAGCCCCGATACGTTTCTCCGAAGCGGTCCAGGGGAAGGAGCTGGAGAGAATTTTCAAGGAGGAGGGTGTCATCGACGAGGAGGAGGAGGACCCTGGGGACAACGACTACGAGGCCCTGGACGAGAGCCTCCAGGACCCGATGCTCTCCGAGAACGAGGAGATAATAGGCCACATGGAGACCGAGGAGGGAGTCGACCTGGGCCAAATCATCTCCATGAATCGTGGGCGAGGAAGGGGTCGCCCGAGATGGCGCAGAAGGAGGAAGTACCTCTGCGGAGACTGCGGCCAGAGTTTCGCCCAGCGAAACCAGTACCTGAAGCACAAGAGTACGCACAAGGGGGGGAAGCACGAGTGCACAAAGTGCCAGAAGCAGTTCACGAGTGAAGGGAATTTGGCACTGCACCAGAAGAAGACTGGACACGATGGCGAGAGGGTTGTGTGGAGCCCTAAGGAGGAGGTCCAGGAGGAGGAGGGCCCTGCAGGGCCTGAGGACGAGGGCAGGGAGGAGGGAGAGGAGACTGAGGCACCTGGGGAGGAGAGCCCCGTTCCCCAGAAGGAGGAACACCTAGACGACTCGTCGTGCCACTCGAAGGTGGAGCTCGAGGAGCCGAAGGTGTTCTCCTGCGAGGTGTGTGACCAGCAGTTCCCCTCGAAGGAGCCCTGCGAGGAGCACCTGAGGAGCCACGAGAAGTCCTTCACCTGCAGCCTCTGCAGCAAGAGCTTCTCCGACGAGTCCTCTCTGAAGACTCATGTCTCCACTCATGAGGGGGGTAAATGCGAGAAGGGCTTCGCCTGCGATCTCTGTGGCAAGGTCATGAACCACCCCAGCTCGGTGATCTACCACAAGGAGTCCGAGCACAATAATGGCCGGAGGTTCGTCTGCAACAAGTGTGGGAAGAGCTTCAAGCACAAACAGCTTCTCCAGCGTCATCAGCTGGTCCACTCCGACGATCGCCCCTATGTCTGCAAATCCTGCAACTCCAGCTTCAAGACTAAGGCCAACTTGATCAATCATTACTCGACTCATACGGGGGAGAAGAAGTACACTTGCGATATTTGTAATCAGCAGTTCGCTCATAAGACTAGTTTGACACTTCACTATCGCTGGCACAGCGGCCACAAGCCCTACACCTGCGATGTCTGTCAGAAGAGCTTTTCGCAGAATGGAAATCTCCAGGAGCACATGAGGATTCACACCGGGGAGAAGCCCTACGCCTGCGAGTACTGTGGGAGAAAGTTTACGACATCTTCGCAATTTAAATTGCATGTGAAGAGGCACACGGGGGAGCGCCCCTGGAAGTGCGAATTCTGCGCCAAGAGCTTTTTGCACAAGGACACGTGGAAGTGCCATGTCAGGAGGCACAAGGGGGAGAGGCCCTTCCAGTGCTCGGAGTGCAATCGGGGCTTCACGGAGCAGTGGGCACTCAAGAAGCATCTCAGGTTGCATACGGGGGAGAAACCGTACTCCTGCGATGTCTGTGGGAAGGCCTTCGCCGACTGCTCCAATCTGACGAAGCACCGGAAGGTCCATCGGGATAATAATAAGGTGCTGAAGATTGGGGGCCTCGCCAAGGGCCCTGAGGGCGAACTCTGGCAGATTCTGCCGACCACGGAGGGAGGGGAGGAGAGCTTAGGGGAGCATATTACACAGGTAAGCAGGAAAGACAATTTCGGAAATAAGTTCTACGGAAAAATCGAATTAATCTTATTTTTTTTATTCAATTTTTTTTTTCTGTGGAGTATTTCCCATTGAACATTTCTATTTTAATAAAAAACGCACAAACGAGTCGACAGACTAGCTAAACTTGAGGATGTTCGACACCCTTTTAGCCAAAATTGACGTTGTTTTTATTTTTCTGGCAAATTATCGATGGGAGTGACGTGAAAAAATATAACGATTTTGTGGTTTGTCATTCTTTAATGGCTCACGAAGTTGCGTAGTCGTGCGATAATTCTCATGCGTTTCTTCTACAGTTTTGTGATTCTTTTTAAAAGTTAGGGAAAACGCAGGAAAATGTTCGCACCACCTGAAAATTTCGTCAGTCATTAAATGTGGGCGTCCACATGAAAAGGGCCCACTTTGACGGTATTGGAGTTATGTATGTTCCGATAATCTTGATCAGATTTCTCACATTTTGAGCCCAAAATCAACCCGGTAGAATGAAAACTGACGTCAGTATAGACGATCAAAAAAACAATTTAACATGGGTTTAAATGGGAGATGTGGAGAGAGAAAAACGTGAATATCTCGGAAACCAGATGCGACAAAGTGGGCCCTTTTCACGTGGACGTACACAAATAATGACAAAACGCAAAAACGTTATATTTTTTCACGTCAATTCCATCATAAGTTTGCCAGAAAAATTGAAAAAACGTGAATTTTGGCAGAAAGGGTGTAGAACATCCTTAATTTTTAATCCCAATTCACTTTGAATTGCGGACTATTAAACTTTTCAGTTACATATTTCATTATTTTTCCAGGTAATCGCTGAGGAGGGATCTGAGGACGGTGTCTCTCAGATTATTTACGTGTCATACCAGGACCCCGATGATCCTAATCAGTCGAGGACCCTTCACTTTGGGATGTTGGAGAAGGAGGAGATGGCGGAGGGGACTGGGGCGTCCCTGCCGAGTCTCGACGTTGAGGAGGCCGAGGGGCTGAAGGAGGAGGCACAGGTGGACCTTTCCGAGCCGAATCTCCAGCTCCAGATCACGGACGAGGATGGCAATCCCATTCCGCTCTCGATTCAGGACGCCAGACAGTTGCTGGCAGGAGGGCAGTTCGTCAGTCAGCTGAATGATGGGCAGATGATCAAGGTTCACTCGGGTGTTGTCACTGAGGAGCTCGCCGAGCAGCTCGGGGTGCACATTCAGAGCATTGCGATGGAGGGGGGTAACAGCGCGGCCAGGGGGGGTGAGGGGGGCGAGGATAATGAGGGAACGGTTGTTAAGGTTCTCGGGGAGGGCCAGAGTGGCGAGGGAGAGATTGGAGATGGCACTGGTGATATTGGGGATGGGGAACAGACTATTGAGTTCACCACGCAGGATGGACAGAAGGTGCGGCTGGTTGCTCCTTATCATGTTGATCCTCTTCAGTTGGCGTCTGAGTACCTGACGATAGTCTAATTCTTATTGTGAGACGAATTGGACAGTTTTTATCATTTCAAAATGTGACGTCAGTTTTTTTGCAATTTTTAGGTTTATTTAATGAGTTGGTTTTGTGAACGGGGTGGCGCTTTGTGATTAGAAAAATAATTATTTACAATGGTTAAGTATGTAAATACAATAAAGTTAAGGTTTTTCCTTTTCGATATTACAGGCGTGCTTTTCTTGAGATGGGGAGCTAGTGGAAGTTTTTTTTTTATTTCATTTTCAACTACAAGGCCAATTGCAGGACCGAATTTGTTTGTTAATTTGACAAAATGGTGAACAATGAATTTGGATTAATTATTCTGTATATTTTGTGCTGATAAATTCACCAATTGATCAACCTCATTTTCCATTTCGATTCAGAATGCCAGGGAATTGCTGGTGTGCGGTTTTTCTATTATAATTTAAAACTCTGAAATGAGTTTTCTTAAAATTTTAAGTTTATTTAGAGAGTTTATGTTATGGACGTGGTAGTTATGTGATTACAAAATTAGTTATTTACAATGTTTAATGATGTAAATACAATAAAGTTGAGGTTTCTTCTCTTCGATATCACAGGAATGTGGTTTTAGGGTGGAGAATGATGAGGGGCTAGTCTTCAGGGTCATTGTTGTTTCCAAGACGATGAGCTTCTCGTGTCTGAAATGCAAATATTCTATGAAAACAACATTTCGAATGAATCTCTCTCATTCATTAGCCATGTGACCGTGCAGACCCCATCAAAAAATATATAAAAAATATATATAATATGGGCCTACTCCATATACTTTTCAAATTTATAAAGAATATATTAAAAACATGTATAAAATATGTTTTCTATATTTTTTTAAATGCAAATTGGGCCAATTTAAGATATTTTTTTATATATTTTAAGCTCCATCTGGAGTTATAGTTAAGTGATGTCATCTGATGATTTAGTCATTCGATTCTTACCTGCCTGCGCCTCCTCTGGATCAAGTATCTTCTAGTGATAATCCTCATCGATGTCATGACAGCCTAAAAATACGAATAGCTTATCGATTATTAATACCCATTCCTTCAACTTTTGCAGTTTTCTGGGATTATCGGATCAAAAAAAAAATTTCTTACTCTTATGGCCTCGATATTCCTGAGTATGTGCTCCTTGTGGAATCTTGCCTTGGATCTTAACGCCTGCAATGAGAAAAATCCCAAGAGCCCTAATTAATTCTTCTTCTGCATCAATCATTGATTTAGTAATATTATGAGAATTTGCAGTTTATTATAATTAAGATTTGCTAATCTTCATTGAAATTTGAAAAACAATATAATAATTGGTAATAAAAACTTTTCAATTATTGGTTGGTAAAATAATTCGAAATTTGAATAACAAATTGGTGAGTGAAATTAACAATCTACTTATTCAAGATTTAACTTTAATTAAATAGATGCAAACCTCTTTTTGCTCCTTCCTCTTCCTCGTCATAGGTCTTTGATTACACTGTCTGCACATGAGCTGGAAAAAAATAAAACACCAAAAATTACCAATAAATTGAAAAAAAGTCACTAAAATTCTATTCTAAACAATTTCAATTTTTCCCTGATTTGTTTCTTCTCGATTTTTTTAATGACAAAGTGAAAAATGGAATAGAAAAAATTTGAAAAATTTATGTCGAGGAATTCCTATAGAGAATTTATTAATGCAAAAAGTTGTATAGAAAGATTAAATTCTGAAATTTTCTGTGAAATAATTAAATAATAATAAATAATAAAATAATAAATACTAATTTAATAACAAATAAATAAATAAAAGCTACTGGATTTTACAATGGAATCGGCGAAAAACTAATAGAATTTTTAATAAAAGTTCATTAGAAGTCTAATAGTCTTCTAAATTTTTTTCGTCTGTGGTACTCCCCATGATTGCTCTTACCATCAAATTTTTCTCAATTTGATCGTATTCTTTGATGTGAAACTCGTACTTTGCCATGAACATCTGCAATATTCAATAAACAATGAGAAAATCCCGTGAGAAAGGGCGAAAATTGCTTGAGAAAATGAATAACCTCTATCTTTTTCTCCACTTTCAGCACAAATTTTTCCATAAACGAAGGAATTTTGAATGCTTTGAGGAATCACTTGAGAGAATGAAATATCCAATCAAGTATTTATGAAGATCGATCAATTTTCGAGTGATGAACACTCGGTGACAATTGTCAAATCCGCACTCAACGAGTCTAATTTTTGTTTACTATTTCTTCACGATGGCCATGAAGGGGGGGAGGGGGTCGTTTGATCAATCTCAGATGGACTTGGAGACCTTCTAGGGAAAAATGACGACGGTACGGAAGCTTGGAGGAGCCCTGCGATCGGTCAGACAGTGCCAGTAGAATACAGTCACAATTATTTTTATTCACGATCGGTCACTTTATTATTGTCATTCTACATCGAGAGATGGCAGCATGCACTCCACCGACGAACAGAACTCTTTTAGGGACGGGCGATGTTTTTAAAAACATCGATTATCGAAGAATCGGTATTTTCGAAAAGAATCGATGTTGGGAATCGATTTTTCAGGAAAAACATCGATTAGGGGAGGGTGGGGTAAAATGGACACTTTTGAATTTTTTTTGAAAAAATGTACATGAGGTGTTGAATTGTTCATAAAACGGAATAATCTTATTTTTCAATTGAAAGAACAATTATTCCCCTTTGTGATGAGCTTAGAATGAGCTCAATTGATAAATCTGATTCTGAGTTATGAATATTTTTAAAAAAGGCAAAAGTGTCCGTTTTACCCAACTCTCCCCTATTGAAAATCTGTTTTTCTCCTTACACCGAAAAAAAAAATTAAATTTTTTTTTTAATGTCGTTTTCATTGAAAATATGTATTGAAAAAAAAACTCATTTTTTAAATTAAAGGGTGCGTTTGAATGCACAAATTAAATTAATAATAATGAAAATGATAAAAACAAAAAAGAAAAAAAAGAAAAAAAGTAAAAATCATAAAAAAAATATTATTATTATTTTAGAATAATAAATAATTTGTTTTTGTTTCTTATAAACAAGAACAAATTTCCTACTAATTGCGTTTTTAAAGAAATATTGACATTAAAATGCATTCCACTGCATTTTATATTTATTTGACTTTCCATTCCCAATATTTTCGTTGAAAACATGCGCCGAAGATGGACCGCAGGTCTCCGTTGCCACTGTATTTTCGCCGGGAGAAAAAATTGAATAAAATTTCCAGAATTGAGAGGGAATATTCAACTTGTTCGCGGCTCAGGTTCCCCGAATAACCGTAAAAATTCCCGCAAGAGGCATTGCGGCGCGCAATTACGTGAGTTGTTACGTCATTTTTCGCGGAGTTTTCGCTCGTCTTCTCTAAAAAAAAATCCATCTGCTAACACAAAATATCCATTACCCCTTAACGAATCCGAGCTCTCAGGTGCTGGAATGCCATCGTGCAAGTTTCATGAATAGCTCGGATGTAATATTAGTAGGTACTTTGGAAAGAGCGAGAAGGAGACTACTCAGGCCATGAGGTTGGAGTTACACCGATAATAGAACTACGAGTACTCTCGAAGCTCTGATAGAATATGTAAATTACCTGTCTAATAGCCGAGTAAAACGTTTCACCTTCAAGTGGAGAATTTTGATTGTACAGTTATTGCCGGGGGATAGCAAGTGACTACTGCCTCCTCTGCCCTATGAGCCAGTTTTGGCCAGTTTAAATGCAGCATTCACTATCCCCTGTTTGTTCGGTATTCCCTTGGACTCAGGGAGAGAATTCATGATTGGATCGCTCAGAAAAGGGAATTTTGTTCACTGCACTGAGAGAAAAACGACAAAGTTCCCAAACAAGTCTTACTTGTGCCAAGAAAATAGTCTTTTGAAAATTATCAAAAAAGGATTTTTTGTGCCAAATTTACAGAGAGTGCGCCGGAATGAACAATTTTTGTCGCAAAAATAGATTTCTAGCACTACTCCTTCGTTATTCGATACTCCCGTACGTATTTTGCTCCCGAAAAATCTTTGTTTTATGCGAAACAAGGGGTAGTAGTTTTTCGTTTCGCCTGTCTAATAATCACAGACAACAAATGAACCCTTAAATGAAACAATAATAATGATATGATAGCAATCTTGTAACTTGGGGATAAAATATTTGTTGATAAATTTTCCTCTGTATGAGATATTTTCATCCTGAAAAGGCACCGTCTGGTGTGAATTATCCGCCTTTTGAGCCAAATATTTTGTTGCCGTCGAAAGCAGAGCAATTAAAATGTTTGAGACTTTCAAATTCGAACCAAACAAATTCTTTTTTGGCAATTTTCAACTAGCGATTTTGTTGGCCCAAACAAGACTTGTTTGACAACGTGTTTATTTTTCTCTCAGTGTAGTTTTTCGATACACAAAATGGATGAGTAAAACAAGTGGACAATTACATTTTTTATAAACGAGTACAGTTATCGTTGCTGATAAATTAGCAATTTGCTTCCGAATGGGTTTTCTTTTTTGGAAAAATGCAATTGTAATTCATGTCAATAAATCGAATTTAGTAGTCTATATTCATGAAAAAAATTATGCAATTCGAGTGATCCCTTGTACATGAATGCAGACTTATTTGAGCGATTGAAAAGCTTCCATTCGGAAGCAAAAACATTAGCGGCGACTGGATAGAGCATCTTGGGACGAGGACGAACCTATGATTCACTTAAGCAATTTTAGTTCGAAGTAAACGTCTCCCATACTTTCCCATCAGGCTAACAGTTACACGAGGGCTCCTCTGATCCCGATAATCGCCCGATACATCCGGGTCCGGGTAGAAATTCGAGGAAGGAACCTTCCTCCTGTGATAACTCTATAAAGTTTTGCACGAGATGGCTCGCAATATACTTTCTGTTTCTTCTATTTTTCACTCATTTTTTCTCGGTGGATGTGACTTCCATTTTTCCTCTCGTCAATAAAAGAACAAGCAACGGAGATTGAGAGTTTTTAATGATCTCATGGTACCCGAACAGTTATTAAAAATGTCCCCTGATTGTTTCGATTTCATTTTATCGTTTATTTCAGTGATCATTTCAGTGATGGAATAGAAGAGCTTTCAAAAGCATTCTACTTGAATGAAACAAATTATTTCACTCACACAATATTTTCTGAGAACTTCTCCGTAAAAGTTGCATTCGATGGAATGAAGAATTCGGAAGATTCTCCAGTGCTCTTAGTACCTCAGAAAAGTTATAAATGTGATGGAATCGCTGAAGAACTTGCTTTGGTAATCATGAAAAAGCATTTCCGACATATTTGTCTTTGAAAGGTTCCTATAGTATACAAAGTTCCTCGAACAGTCTCGGCGTTTGAGTTTAATGCTAATATTGATGAGCAAGTTTCGACGTCACTACTGTTATTTGTATCGAACAGGCCGTACTCCCGAGCTAACAATTAAGCTTACTCAGGAAAATTTACGACTAATATGAGATGATTGTTTATTTAACCAAGTGGAAGGTGACAGGATTTTTAATTTTTCTTGTGTGATGACTTGACGGAATTGCAGTTTATTAATGAAACGTGAATGTAAAATTCTCAATACGATTTCAGGGAAGTGGATTCGCGAGAGGAACATGAATAATTCCTCAGCATTTTTTCCAACTACTTTACAATATCTCCGGTGTCTGTCAATTCTGTCCAAACTCGCCAGTTACACAAAAGTCCGGCTTTACATATTGGATTGTCGGGGGGGACAGACAATCTAACACGTAACCCTCGGCCAAAGTTTTGACGCTAGCTCTCCTCACTGAAACTGCCATGACTGGGCTGCTGCTACGCCCATAACAAGTGTAAGACGACTTAGAGTAAACTTTCTCATCTCGACGTTCTATACCTAACGATAAACTTTGTACTCGTGAATTTGAATTTTGCGAGTCGTCTAGTTTAATGGAAATATCCTCGGGGATTCGTTGGAGGTGGCAATTAGAGATGAATGAGATAAAAACGTTGTTGTGGAGAGGGAGAAAGGCATAAATTCGGAATGATGAGTCAAAGTGTTTCGGGTGACGGTGGATTTATTAATGTAAAATAATATGCAAAGGTCTTTTGGGGAAAAAATTAATCGATGATGATAGGAAATTTCTCTTCAAATTTTTTGAGTATTCAATTAAATCGTATGGAATTGATCAATTTCATGATAAAGTCTTAAATTATGTGAACATTTTATATTCTCTCACTCAATGTCTGACCCTTATATTCCCCTCGAGAGTTCTTGGTACAATCCAAGGTGATACGAAATAATCACTCTCGAATTGAAACATTCATCCCCCATTTAAGTATAAAATATCTTTGAATCAACTATATTTTTTTTCCGTGAAAAATTATCTCGAAAGCCAAAATAATTAGAGCCACTTCCTGAATTGTTGAATCTGGAAGTTGACTCCCCTCACTGTTCACCATAAATTGAACAATTTCATGGAACAATTCCAATTGAAATTCCATGTAAATTCACAATACTGAAAATTGGCATGTGACTGTCACCCCGACTCCAATAAATTACCAACCGTGAAGCGTGCATTAAAATCGCGCCGAGCGATCAAATGAGAATGAAAATTTTTTGAGTATTCAATTAAATCGTATGGAATTGATCAATCTCATGATAAAGACTTAATTTATGTGAACATTCGATTTAGGGAAATTATGAATTTTTTAACCTCTACTTTTTGACCCTTATATTCTCTCACTCAATGTCTGACCCTTATATTCCCCTCGAGAGTTCTTGGTACAATCCAAGGTGATACGAAATAATCACTCTCGAATTGAAACATTCATCCCCCATTTGAGTATAAAATATCTTTGAATCAACTATATTTTTTTTCCGTGAAAAATTATCTCGAAAGCCAAAATAATTAGAGCCACTTCCTGAATTGTTGAATCTGGAAGTTAACTACCCTCACTATTCACCATAAATTGAACAATTTCATGGAACAATTCCAATTGAAATTCCATGTAAAGTCACAATACTGAAAATTGGCATGTGACTGTCACCCCGACTCCAATAAATTACCAACCGTGAAGCGTGCATTAAAATCGCGCCGAGCGCTAGCTACACCCCAGTCTTTTTCAACTCCTCCCCTGGCTTGATCTACACCGTCGTCGCTCTTTGCGCGCATTTCCGGCCCATTAAATCGAGTATCGAGCACGATCTTTTCCATTCTCGCGAGAAATCTATTAGCGAAATAACTGCAGGGAGTCCGGGTGGGCAGTGGGAGGAGTTGGTTAGTCTGCCCTGGTGCTTCATCACTCTCAC